ACCAACCTATCTAATACCAACCTATCTAATACCAACAGACTTTTTGTTTTTGGGACACATGGATACAGATCATAACTAATCACTTTATAAACACCAATGGCAGCAAATTATTTAATTTTTAAGAAGCACATAATACTGAAAAAATTAGCTTGTGGCAAATCAGTCAGTTGCTGTGATGTGTTCACTCAAGAACACACAAAACGTCAAAACACCAGAGAGCTTTCAAGATGAACTTCTTGTTTATTCCGTCATTTTCAGTTACCCCAACTTCTAATGCAGCAAATATAGAGATCACTCAGCATGTGTTTGACAGAATTCTGCAAATGGTTTATTTAGAAGTTAAAACATACATCTGTCACAGTATGGTCACATCTTACAATGCAGAATTCTTTGGTATTGCTGGGGTATCTGCATTCTACCTTTTTAGACAATGTAAATTCCCAATACCATACACAATATCTCCAAGATGACAAATGGTTTTTTTTGAATACGCAATTCATAGTGAGAAATTTCCAAAAATGTTCATCACTTTGCTCAGTTTAGCACACCAAGCAATTCAGCAAAGAAATGTATATTTATAAGGTTATCAGAAGAATACTGAAATATATGCACTCAGGCAGTACAGGATAACATCCACCTCCATCACATGTTAGTCAATACCGCCACTGTACTGCCTTGGTGCATCCTTTGCAGCATTCTCACAATAAAACATACCTAATTCATCCATGAGAACCAATGAATGTTTACTGGCATGCTGTAGTATGGATGATGTTTCGCTCAACTCTACATAAAATGTACTTTCACCTGTAAAATAAATACAATATGCAGTGAACACAGTAGCAAGGTGTTTGACAAATTTAAATCATGTGATCTGCTATCCTCAAGGGAGGACATCCAGGCATTTTCATCACCTGGCAACCATCACAGGGAAAACAAAGGTCAACAACTCTTAGAAAACTGTACTTTGACATACTAGTAGTTGTTTGACTCCCAGTCTAACAAGATTACCCCCCTACATGTGCAATATATAGAAATTTGGTTTCTCAGGATTACTTCAAAATTGAGTTTGTGCTATTTCCTGGAGTTTAGCTGTTTTCATCGGCTCTTCGACAGATGTTTCACAGCAACTTGTGCAGAGCTCATAGAGAGACGCATTGTACAGTGCTGCTGGGTGAAATAAATCCCCTGTCTACAAGGGTACTGTGGTAGCCAATTTTTCACAAAAACAATGTACACTTCAAACCAAAGTGATCAGGTTGGTGGTGTTCAAGGAAAATTTGAAAATATCATTTTTTTATCCTACAATTACAAAAATATTTGCCCAAAATAGAGAATTGATATCATCATGAAATGAACAAATCTTACAGTGGTCCACCCAAGATACCTACATACCAAGTATTGAGCTGGTAGTTTTCAAGAAGAAGTTGGAGATAACATTATTTTTACAGAAAATAACAAAAATATTTGCCAAAAATAGAGAAATGATGATATCGTCATGGAATGAACAAATCACCCAAGGTTCACCCAAGGTATATATATATACATACCGGTACCAAGTACCAAAGCAAGTAAGATAGTAACATTTCAAAAAGAAGGCGCAAATGCAATTGTTGACCAATTAATCACATATGAACAGCTCTGTTCTGTCATCTACAATGACAGCAGAGCTAAAAACACCTCAACTCATTTAAATACTCCCTAACTTACCTGACATAATCCTATCACTGGCACCAAGCCTAGTAAATACTCTGTCAACTGGTGTGAGTTTACAGCTCTCAGCTGGAACATGACACCCTAACTGTGCCATTATTACAAGTAATCCAACCTGCCTCATAAGTGTGGATTTACCACCCATATTAGGACCAGTCACCAAAACACATTGACCTGCAATGTTTTCATCGTCATCAGTGTCCTAGAAAAAATAGAATACTATTACTTACTTTGTGCCATATCTTTTGATGTTGCAAGATTTTTTTAAATTTCAGACACAGTAGTGAATCCTAATTATTATAGTATTCACTATAGGAGTAAACCCTGTATTCACTATGGGAGTTAATTGAGTGAATCCTATATTTACTATATGGAGTTAATTGAGTGAATTCTGTATTTACTATGGGAGTTAATTGAGTGAATCTTGTTTTCCCTATGGTCCTGTATTCCCTATGGGAGTTAACTGAGTGAATCCTGTATACTCACCACCTTACATCCTATATATGTATCATTCGGTATAAAATCACCACCAGTGAATATTTTAGAAATACAAGGATGACTGCCATTGACAATAGAGATATAAGGCTGTAATAAGAAATAGAAAACAATCACCTTGAAAAATGAACACACTGAATAAACAAGAAAGCAATAGTGTTCTGGATATGATATTTATCCATTTTTAATGATGTTTGACAACCATATATAGTCATCAAATACGTTAATTAGATCTCAATACTGTAAAACACTTTTATTTTTGCTATATTTGCTGCAGGAATGATTCAGTGAAAATAAAATCCAGCGAATATATCTTTTTCCTATATTTTACATTCAACTCATCAAAAAATCAGTGAAAATAAATTCCATACAAAACACCCAAAACGTTCTTTCAGCGAAAATTAATTCCAGCTAAAATAAAGTATTCTACAGTATAACACTGTTTGAACATAGTGCTCCTGATATGACTTTGTACGGACGGACGAACGGATGGATGGCAACAACTATATCCCCCACCCATCCCATATGTCGAGAGATAGTAAATGTTACAAATTATCATTTCTAACCAAATATTACATGAACACAGCAGTGTATGTATTAATCAAATCAATAATCATGTTATAATTAAGGAATCTATATCATGAGTACAAAGTACTATGAGAACATGATTTTAAATAATATCTGTCAAAATATTTTTTTTACAACTGTTGGTGAGTAAACACTAGAAATAAAGTTGTCAAATACCTGTTAAGAATTTGTTAATACCCAGTCGTTACGTTGTATATAATGTTAGCAAATTCAAGACAGCCATCCAATTTATAAGCAAATTATAGGACATAACTACAAGGTACACCATAGTAACATAGTGACGTCCTCATGACTGCATTCTTACCTGCATGTCTTGCGTTGGTGAGATTATTTGAGGTCTACACATATCATTTTCACTGCATTGACTGTACTGTGCGAGTGACAATAAGACATCCAACACTGACAAACACTGCACAGTTCTATCCCATAGTTTGTAACTTAAAAAAATAATATCACAAATAATAATTACAAATCACTGTCTTCTCACGCTGTCACTATAAAAATCTTTACTGGTTAACCCTTTGGGCACCACTGCCAACTTTTGACACCATTCACAAAATGATGGGGTAAGCATGAAATATTAACACAAACTGTTTGATCAAAAACTAAAAGCAATATCTTAAACTATCTGTACAGTCCAAAATGAAGAAGAAATTTACTGAAAATTTTATAAAATGTGAAAAAATAATTTTGCACTCAAAGGGTACTTGTAGTAAATTCAAGGTATTTGATCTTTTCACTTTCCCATGTAAACATGAAAAAAATTACTCTTATGACTTAACAAGATTATTTAACTATTCCACCACCAGACTTTCTCATCCAAATTTTTCTGCCTTTTTTTCTTATATTCTTCAATATTTCTGGAAATGAACCCTAATTTTGCTCAAAAAATTTTGCTATTTTCATCTCAAATCTTTTGAAGAAAATTGCAGACTAAAACAGGACTGTTTTGTGATGAAAAGTGAACTGGTGGTGAATAGGTTAATAAGGATTTATAAACCGTATCTGTATTCTACCACTATTACTTACTGTTCATCAAATATAGCAAATACTCTCCTCATTGTGTCTGTGAGGGCAGTATCACGTCTGCCTTCAGCATCAACTAACTCATTAAACAGAGCTTTGATATCATCTGTAGTGTATCGTTTATAACCTTTTTTCTGTGATGTGACTTCAAACTCATCGGGCACTCGTTTGCAGACACTTTCAGGAATCTCTAGCTGGTAGCGATTCTTAGCTGTGCCAAAGTATACAATTGTCTGTATAGAGTAAAGTTATTGTACAGTTTAGTAATTTGGTTGTTGAAATATATTAACTTAATTTAAGATAAGGGGATGCCAAAGTCAACTTTTAATTTTAAGGTAAATTAAGACAAATTTCAGAAAAATGCAGCAAACAAAATTACACAAAATGTACCAAAATTGGGCTGGAAAAACTATGCCATACAAAGTGTATGAAGATGCATAAGACCACATAGGTGTCAGTATAAAAGGATGTGATCACTAAGTCAATAGAGATGGGCAGCCATATGACCACCTAGGTGTCAGTACAAAAGGATGTGATCACTAAGTCAATAGAGATGGGCAGCCATATGACCACCTAGGTGTCAGTACAAAAGGATGTCATCACTAAGTCAATATAGATGGGCAGCCATATGACCACCTAGGTGTCAGTACAAAAGGATGTGATCACTAAGTCAATAGAGATGGGCAGCCATATGACCACCTAGGTGTCAGTACAAAAGGATGTGATCACTAAGTCAATATAGATGGGCAGCCATATGACCACCGATTGTCGAAGTCGATTGAGATGGACAGATACTCCAGCACTATTACTAAAATACAATATAATTGAATAAAATTTGCACTGAGACTTCATTAATATGAATAACATATTTGTTTGAAATTCAAAAATTACCTACCCTGCAATTGAGTCGTTGTTGTTGTCTCTCTAAATAATGATTTAATTTTTTCTGTGTGCAATTTATATCCTCTAAGGCACAGTCATAATCTGGATCAACCCCAGCATGCGGAATGATCGCTCCAACACTTTTGGCTTTTCCATGATCGAAAGCATTCTAAGGGGAGTCAAAATAACATTGATAATATGTGTTATGTGTGTACAACATTCTAGTACACAACATGAATAGTGTATTCAAATATGACTCAGGTGTCAAAGTGTGAGCCCAGTGTATCCAAGTGCAACCCAGAGTACTCTTTGTGTATAAGACTCTTGTGTATCATAGCATATAATTAGAGTGAGTATCCAAAAGAGACTCCGAGTGTAACCCACTGCATCCAACTGTAAATGTGACTGAGTAGCTCCCCTTGTGACCCAGTAGATCCCTTTGCGATCCAGTAGATCCCTTTGCGACTCAGTAGATCCCCTTGTGACCAAGTAGATCCCCTTGTGACCTAGTAGATCCCCTTGTGACCTAGTAGATGCCCTTGTGACCTAGTAGATGCCCTTGTCACCCAGTAGATGCCCTTGTCACCCAGTAGATGCCCTTGTCACCCAGTAGATCCCTTTGTGACCCAGTAGATCCCTTTGTGACCCAGTAGATCCCTTTGTGGCCCAGTAGACCCCTTTGTGACCCAGTAGATCCCCTTGTGACCCAGTAGATCCCCTTGTGACCCAGTAGATCCCCTTGTGACCCAGTAGATCCCCTTGTGACCCAGTAGATCCCCTGGTGACCCAGTAGATCCCCTGGTGACCCAGTAGATCCCCTTGTGACCCAGTAGATCCCCTTGTGACCCAGTAGATCCCCTTGTGACCCAGTAGATCCCCTTGTGACCCAGTAGATCCCCTTGTGGCCAAGTAGATCCCTTTGTGGCCAAGTAGATCCCTTTGTGGCCCGTAGGTCCCTTTGTGGCCCAGTAGATCTTTTTGTGACCCAGTAGACCCCTTTGTAACCCAGTAGATCACTTTGTGAAGTATATACTAGTGTACCCTAGAGTGACCCAATGTATCCCAGTATATACTAGTGTATCCTAGAGTGACCCAATGTATCCTAGAGTGACCCAATGTATCCCAGTATATACTAGTGTATCCTAGAGTGACCCAATGTATCCTAGAGTGACCCAATGTATCCCAGTATATACTAGTGTATCCTAGAGTGACCCAATGTATCCTAGAGTGACCCAATGTATCCCAGTATATACTAGACTGAGTGTAGTTTTACTGTGTAGTATATCAACTTATAATTTTAATAATTAGAGTCACTTTTCTAACTACTTATACTCACATCAAAGAAAGAAAGCTCTTCTTGGATATCAGGAAATTGACCACAGTCATTACTGTCTCGTTTTGCTGTGGTAGTGGTCTTTTTGAGAAGTTTTGATCTAAAAGAAAAATAATAAAGCATTATTTTGTGGTTATCATTCAATTCATTTAACACAAAGATTTAAAAATTTACCTTATCTACTATGCCACATTTTTATTAATCCAGAGTTTGACACTGAATAAAGATTTGTATCTATGGCAACGTGTCATGCATGCAATAACACACACATTAGGGTTCATATATATACAAGTTTGAGTGATATCCATTAAAGTCATTATTTTTAGACTTTGTTTAAAAGAGAACGACTCTTTTGTTTGCTCTATTAGTTGCGTACATGCTTAATATGTAAATTATGGTGATTTTTCTATTGTCAAAATAAATGATATTTTAATGATTCATTATACGGCTAATGTAATTGTTGGCTTATATGCACTTCTATTGAGCAAATAAGGTAGTGGATAGTACAGAGGGCTACTTTGTGGAAGGATACAAAGTTGACATCTGGGGTGCAAAAGTTAAAATATTTACATTCACATAAGGAAGGTGATCAAATTCAAACCATCGGTTTCAGGCTCTGTAACAAACATAACACTGCATAATGACTATGTCATTTACTTATTTTTTTTTTAGATTAAATGCAGTAAACCAAATATGAGATATACTTACTTGAATTCATCTGTTCGTCCTTTGAATAATTTTATAATTTTACAGGCAGTTTTAAATCCATTAAGAGCTGCAAGAAAATCTTCTATTTTCCTTTTACTGAAATATTGAAAATAATAATTTGTTATATTAGAGCCTTCGAGTGCCAGATATTTTTCAAAATATCAATGCAAATAATTTTGACATTTTGTAAATTATTCATTAAATTTTGGACGATATTTCTTT